TAGCCAAGACGCCACCAACGGTAGATTGAGGGTCTGAGGTGACCCGCATGCAGTCCTCGAAAGTGAGGGTGAAGAAGTAGGTCAGCCCATTGGAAGCCGCACTGGCTTTGGCTCTGCCAGTCTTCTTAGGTTGACGTTAACCAACTCCTCATTGGCCAGAAGGATGCACCAAAAGCAGTAGTATGCTATGTTGCTGGTGGCCAATAGTTTCTGTATTACTTTGGTAGCAGAGCTGGAGGGGGAATGCGAGGGCATTGAGACCTCCCATGATATTGCCAACGCTAGCCGAGGTCCCACGCCAAGGAGTCTGGGATTGGTGATAATTTAACTTTGGAAGTTGGTTGTTGAACCTTGTGGCTAACAGATTCATTTGAGGCCGTGGATAACGGTAGATCATCGACTGAAAGATCTGGGGCAGTAACTTCCACTCTGTCGGGGACGGTCGGGTTGGATCGGGACAAGGCATCGGCGATCACATTTTTACCCCCGGAATGTGTCTGGCTCTGGCTACGATGTTGAGTGAGTCAATGAGATGGAAGAACGTGATCACCCATTGTAGCAGATTCATCGAGCCTAGATGATTTATATACCAAACCACTGTCGAATTGTCTGATTGGATCAACAGACTGGTTGATTGAAGCTCTGTTGCGCAATGTGAGATGGCTTGAATTACCGCCTTGAATTCCAGCTCGTTTATATGAAGTACCCGTTCATCAGATGACCACAGCCCGGCCACTTGATGGTCGAGGAAGTGAGCTCCCCAACCCATGAGGGATGCATTGACGAATAGGTAATGAGTCGGTGCAAAGGGCATCATAGAGACTCCGGCGAAACATTCCGCTCATTGCTGCCACCATTGAAAGACTGGTCGGGCGTTCTGGAAGGCAAATTAGTTCCTTTGGGGTTGTCGGCCTGAAGGTACGGGCGTAGAAATCACTGTGTCGGCCGAAAGTTGGAATCGGCCTCTGTAATGCTAAGGCTTGAGCTGACGCCAGAAGGCCCAGTAGCCCCTGCCACTGTCGTGAAGGTTCTTGCCTGAGACAGTCCTGGAGGAATGCATTGCTGAATCTTTTTATCCACCCTGTCTTGAGGTACCTAACATCATCCCCTGACGAAGTGTCGTAACAGTGTCTGATGAATTGGAGTTTCTGACTTGGTATTAGTTCCGATTTTGCAATACCAACAGCCACCCTAACTGTCTGAGCAGCATGGTGGTGAAGTGTAGCTGATGCAAGCAATAATACGATCGGATCCTGTTGTGCCTGGATGCAATCGCCTATGTAGCTTCGGTGATCCCTTGGAAAGTGGAGGAAGCTCGCTATTGGCTTGGTAATTTGGGTAAAAGCATGCAGGTCGCCGGAAATTCCAAATGGTAGGACTTTCCAATGGTAGGTGATTCCCGCTGAACACGGCTTAAGGTACTTCCGGTGTTCTGGATGTATCGAACGGGCTGAAGATAAGCATCCTGAAGATCTAGGCTGATGAGGAAGTCTTTGGAACCAAGAAGATTGGGGAGTAGAATCCTGAGTGACAGGCTACGCATGGACCTAGGAGCTCTATTGCGAAGTTTGTCTAATAGCCGCATCTATTGTGGATTGCAGAGTCTGAAGCTGGTCCACAGGATATGAGCGATGAGCTGGATGCTACGCCAGAGGTGGACTGCCAATAACGGGTAGCTGATAGCCATGAAGTAGCAGGTTGGTGATGTAACGGATTTTGAGGATGGTCCAATTCGGGCTTAAGATCTGCAATCTCCCCACCTACCGGAGTGTTGTAAATCGAACGACTGGGAGTGGGAGGTCCCAATCGTATGATTGTCTCAAGTCGCCACTGCTTCCCCGGCTGGTCCCTGGGCCAGAGTTGGTCCTGGGGCGACGGAGCAACCACCACGGCCAGATCTGTTTCCTCTGCCACGGCCTTGAGTGGATGCTTCACCTAAAAAGATTGCAGAAATCTGATTGGTAGGGATGAACTGTGCAGTTCGACGCTGTTTTAATGAGTCCTGAACTGTGACTTCTGTATCTTTAACAGTTCAATCGAGACTTGAAAGTGGGTTTCTTTATCAACTTTATTAGATACTTCTTGATGCTTTCAGAATACAAGGTCGAGGTGGTAGGGTGATGGTAGACCAATCCTGGTTCCTAAGAGTATAAGAGTGATCCAGGTCATCTGCTGAAGTACTCAGGGAAGTTGGAGCTTCTCAACAATCCAAAGGAGTACCTGAGGTGTCTCAACTGCTGCAAAGCTACCCCCAGGGGTAGATAACTCAGGGTGAAGGGGAGATGCAGGCATGGCTATTTGGACTGCATCAATCGAGCCAGGAGCTACCGATGCCAGATGGGCTGGCGTAGAAGGCTGTATTTGGTTCCAGGCTGAGGTTATGGCCCTGGGTGCCGTTGTACAAAGCGATCTTAGTGCTAAGGTTACCGTAACTCACATTCATTAACGTAGACTTAAGGTAGCCTTAGCTCTAAGGTTGTTTTGTACAACGGCACCCTGATCATCATATTAAGATCCGGAGTCGCTGTAGGAGTGGGATTGTTATCAGGTTCCTATGACTCAGCTATGATCCTAGAGTGAGTCGAAGGATTCTCAGAGCGTGTAGACGGAACATCGTAAGAGACTGTAGGCCTATTAGTGGTATCAGAGCAATGATCACCCGAACGTTGGTCAGAGGAACTGTATCGAGATCTCGATGTGGTAAGTACCAAAGTAGGTTGGTAAGCTGGTGATCTGGATTCCCTAGTATGGCTAGGTGCTCCTGTATGATATAAAGAACTAGTCTGGCTCGCTGTAGTCCTAGTTGGTGATCTGGTTCTGATTGGAGCTCTGGTTCGACCATCTGAATAGGATTGGCCATGAGATGTGGATCTGTACTGTGATCCCGATTGGTCAATGGCTCTAAGGTGATCTAGATCATATAGGTGACCTGGGTTGGTAAAGTGGATTTGTAAAGTGATCTGGATCGATTCGATGCACTAACTAGAAACTGTGATCATGATCTGGATCTATAAGGTGATCTGGATCGAACAGGTGATCTGGTTTGCAGTTGCGATCTGGCTTGATTTGGTGATCTGGATCGGTTAGGTGATCCACTTTGATGTTGTGATCTGGATCGGTTTGGTGATCTGGATTGGTCTGGCGATCTACTTCGATGTTGTGACCTGGATCGGTTAGGTGACCTAGATCGGTCCGGTGATCTGATTCGAAGTTGTAATCTGGATCCATATGGTGATCTGGATCGGTCTGGTGATCTACTTCGATGTTGTGATCTGGATCGGTTCGGTGATCTGGATCTGTCCGGTGATCTGATTCGAAGTTGTGATCTGGACCCGTTTGGGTGATCTTGATCGATTAGGTGATCTGGATTGATCAGGTGATGTGGATCTTAGTTGTGCTCTGGATCATGACTCTGATCTGGATCGATCCGGTGATCTTGATCGGCACAGTGATCTAGATCGGGCTTGTGATAGTGATCTGGATCGTGAAGGTGATCTAGATCGTTGTGGTGATCTAAAATGATGTGGTGATCTGGATCGGTGATTAGGTGACGAAACCTGAAGTGTTGATTCATGATGAACGTCCCCCGGCGACGCTGTTGTAGCCAGCTCTGTCCACTTCAATGAACGGTGGGGAGACAGTTGGCTGGTTGAGCCCGGTTGGCCAGGATCCAAACAAACTCAGACAGTCGAGGGGATATGTACCGATGATCTGGATGATGATAGTGTCGATCTAAGGTCCCCTGGTAGTGTAGATGGGACAGGCGACGAAGAATTATCGATCACAACCACCCGCGAGTGATCTGACGCTATGGAAGGAGGTGATTGATGCGTACGTAATAGGTGCCGAACGACCTCAGATAAGTAAGAATCTGATGAAGTGTCCATAAAATCCTCTTGAACCACAGACGTCACTCTCTTGCGTGAAGGTACGATTTTCTGTCGCTGTAACTTGATACACTTGGCGGGAGTGGGATCAGATTCTGTTGATTTCCTGTCCCTATCGGCGATGTTCCGGGAGCAAACACGAAGGTAGGCCTTAAAATCCTCATCTTTTAGTGAATTACACTTGCCACATCGTTTGTTCCATTTACATTGTCCAATACAGTCACTGCAAGACGAGTGAGGGTCGAGGGACGAATAATTCGTCTTGCATTGAGCACAAACTTTCCTTTTCCTTGACTGATTATCAGTTTTCCCCACGATGTTCGGGTGAAATAATGTCCCTAATATACAGCACGTCCACACCGTCGTGCGACAAGAAAGAGAATGATCATTCAAGGTAGTCACGTGGGCAATTAGTGGAGCATGCTGCAAGCTTTATTAGAAACTAGGAAGCTAATTTAGTAGAGCAGCATGGAGTGCACAGGCGAATGGACAAGGAGGCCTATGGAAAAAAGTTTACAGTCGTTCCACTAAAGTTGAAGCAAGAGAGAGAGGTGCAAGTCGTGAGATAGGATAAGTTTAAAAATTTACTTTGACTGGCGATTTTATTTCTATTTGTTTTCCCCGTCTTGCCTTAAGGGTTTTCTGAGGACAAAAATCCATAAAACAAGAAATAAAATTGGTCTGGCCTTATGACAATATACAAATCACATTTTGAAATTGCAGACAGACTGAAATGATGTGTGGATGGTGTAAAAATACTCTGGGTTTTCTCAAAGTATATTTAATGCAAAGTGAAGTTAGAGAAATCTTGAGGACCTATTGTCTGATAAAGAAAAAAGAAATTATTTTGTTTGCTATAAAGTCAACATTAGCCTGTCAGAATGCAACTTCCACAAACTTATCTTCCACGCTACACTTTGAAAAACGTCCATTCAAATGTGAAAACTGACCACAAAATAATTCTGGAATATCCAATAGATTGCTGAGATTGCATTTCCATTGAAGTACATGCGTAAATCAGACATTTTGGGTGGAATAGGTTGTACATTCTGCAGCTGTCATTCAAGACTTGCTTGATATGAGTGATGAGTTACTTGAAAAAAATCCCACCCCTTTAATTGATACTTCAAATTTATTTCCTTAAGTCCATTCAAACACTGCATGGTTTCAAACAGAAACAGGGTCACCTGCCTTTGTCCAGCGAGGAAAACATCTAATGTGTTCAAAGGTCTTCAGGAAGCATAAACTGGAAACTTGGCACAGTGCTCAAACAACATGCCGACCACAGATATCTACACCAGTACCAATTCCATCCTCCAAACATTCTTACTTCCAACACTATTTCCCTAAATATCTTACTTCCAGTACTATTTGCATCCACCAAATATTGTGCTTCAAATACTGTTTGCATCCACCAAATATATTACTTCCAATATGTCTTTAGCAAAATGTAGTCTTTAAACTTTTGTGGCAATGGCAGAAATTCAACAACAGATAAATGACAATTGTACCTCAAAAGACGTCTGATTGCAATACAACACAAAAAGTCAAGAGATGGAGGATTCGCAAGTCTGTGGGTTATAAATACCAAAAATTGTTTATCTTGACAAATCCCACTGATGTTCGAGTTCAAGGTTGTTTCATCCACATCCTCCTGACAGGAGTATCCCTTTGAAGGTCATATCCTGCCGACAGAAGTAGGTGAACACTCTCAATCCTGTCTTGGATTTCCCTGCTGGTGCAGACCTCTACACCACCATCACACAGCTGTGGTTTGAGCAGCAGGCCCAGCACACTCTGTCCCTCTTGGTCCATACTGACAGCCATAGCACCGCCACACACAAGATGCCTGAACACCTGTGGGTGGTACTGATACCCACAACTATGTAGAGGAGTCTGGGCATCACTATTTAAGGCATTGACATCTGCACCCTTCATGACAAGCAGTTCCACCATTGCAGGATTTTTCATGAGTACAGCCCTATGTAGACACGTCTCTTGTGTATCACAGTACAGCATTGAACCCCCTTCTTCTTCCTGAACTTTTAGTTCTGGAGAGGTTTCACTTGCACTTGCACCTAATTAATACATACACAGATAATTAGAGAACATGTTTGAGACATCATGCATAACATATATAAAGGAAACTTAATAATAAATGTGACCTTATTATTTATTATGTTCCAGAGAAAGCGATAAGTGAACGCTCATTTCTAAGAAGCCAAATTAATAAATTACTGCAAGACTGATACACATATTTGTAATGAATACTTCAATCCTGAGTCACTATCTAATTATAATATACAACTGGAATAAAGTAACTGTGCATTATTTGATGTTATGCCATAACATGATTAGTGGTGTTTTCCTTAATCACTGTTTAACTGTTGACAGGGGATAATATTGAAATCTGTATGATTTGACACTACGCATCATGACACGCCCTTGAAGAGATGTGGTGTCCAAAGTATCACAAATTCGCTATCGTGTGTGTCCACCATTGGCATTGATGCAGGCTTGACAATGCCGCCGCATAGATGACACTAAGCGATTAAAGAAAGCTTGTTGAATGTTCTTCCATGTCTGAACCAAGGCTTGCCGGAATTCAGCTTACGTCAATGGCTGATCCTGGGTTTGATGTAAACGTCGCTCCATTTCATCTCAAATGTGCTCGATAGGGGACATGTCCGGAGAAGCAATTGGCCAGGGGTTACCAGAATGTTCTGCTGTCTCTGGAAATCTGTCACAACACACAAGCAACATGTCGACGGGCATTATGGTGCTGAAGCATGAAGTTACGTCTCTGTCCTTGAACGGACGGCTGCACATGAGGCAAAATGATCTCATCAATGTATCACAGATAAGTCAGATTGCCATTGACAATGACAAGTTGTGTCAGACCATGAGATGTTATTCCTCCCCAAACCATAACGCTTTTCGCCTCAAACTGTTGACGTTGAACAATGCACACGTAAACATACCATTCACCTCGATGTCTGTACACCCTAGCCCTGCCATCTGAGCTGTCCAGATGAATCTCCACTCATCAGCGAATAAAACACCACCCCAATCTTGTCTCCCGTACCATAGATGCTGTCTGCACCAGGCAAGACGTGCCTGTTGGTGGTGTTGGAGCAAAATTAGATGTATTGCAGGCCATCGGCGCTGGATATGTTGTGCTCCCTCAGTTGGTTCCGTACAGTCCTGGAACTGTTTGGACATAAGCCAGGAATGGTCCAAGCAGTCAAACTGGCAATCTGGAATCAATTCCTTAGATGGGTCAGCTGAATCTGGTTGTCTTGCTGACATGACTTCACGAGTGGATGGCCAGTCCGAGGCAAATCTCTCGTGTGTTCCCATTATGTTGAAAACATCTCCATAGAGATGAGATCATGTTTCGATGGACACCAAAATGTCTGGCCACTTCTTTTTGGGCCATTCTAGTCTCCAGCATACCCACGGCGCAGCGACACTGATTTTCTGTAAGCCGTGGCATGATGTACACATATAGTCTGTTTGCGGTGAAAACGTACCGATGAATTTCACTTTAAACAAAAAAGTAAATCAAAAAAAGTAAAATTAAGATTGCAAATCCTCATAATTTTACCTTGCCATTTGAAAATTTAAATCTCAGAATTTTATTCAACTTAGGATAAAAGTTGTTTAACAAACGATCATAGTTTCAAGTAGGTATTATTGGTTTGTATTACAAGGGGGTATGCACATTAAATGAAATACCGAGAACAAGGAGGGTTGGTCTAAGTTAACGCTCATCACGTACAGCACGTGCATTTGTTTCACTGTTCCAACAACTGCGCTTACCCCCTTGTAATACAAACCAATATATGCGATTTGAAACTATGATCGTTTGTTAAACAACTTTTTTCCTAAGTTGAATAAAATTCTAAGATTTAAATTTTCAATTGGCAAGGTAGAATTATGGGGATTTGCAATCTTAATTTCACTTTATTACATTTACATTTTTTGTTTAAAGTGAAATTCACCGCTACGTTTTCACTGCAAACAGACTATAGTTTAGTTTTAAATTAACATGTTTTCCACAACATTCAGAGGCTTGAGAATAATCAACCTTCTTCAATTTTCAATATCAAGTGTGTGAACTTCAGGTGTCAAAAAACATGCAAAAAGTGAATAAGTGTTATTTTTATAACGTTTTACGCAATTTTATGTTATGCACAGTTACTTTTTTCTGTTGGTATATAAACTGACACAAACTGCTTTACTATTCTGATGTATGAGGCAGTTGTTTTGGTAGTACTTCTGCTCATGGTAAAGATTTTCAGTCACTTTCTCCAGAACATTACAAAGTTCCACTTACATTGGTCTTTGGTAACATGGTCACAGGTCAAAATTCAACCCAAATGTTTTTTTCACTAGCAGTATAATGACGAAATAAAGAAAATGATAAGTATTGTACTTGTTTCCAGAGATTTGTAAAACTGTAACAGCACAATTTTGAAGGAACAAACATGTCGTGGCAAATTAACTGTCAAAATCTTAAAAATACTTAGAACACCATATATTTACACATCTTGACATACATGTTTTTACTTTGAGTGAGTGAGTGAGTTGGGTTTTCATGCTACTTTTGGCAATGTTCCAGCAACATCATGGCAGGGGACACACAGAAATGGGCTTCACAGATTGTGCCCATGTAGGGAATCGAACCTGGGCCTTCAGTGTGACGAGCGAACGCTTTAACCACTAGGCTACCCCACCGCCCCTTTTACTTTGGAGGTACCAAGAGAACATGACATGCATTCTCTTAAATGAAGTTCTGAAACTAAACCCACCAGCCTCAAGAAGCAGTTTGAGCACAGCGATGTTCTGTTCCTTGATGGCCATGAACACTGGAGATAAGTACTCCGTCATAATGGGGAGGATAGTAGGAATGCGATAGTCTCTCTGTTTCCGAGGATTAGCCCCTGTAAACAATTGTTGTCTTTCAGATATAGACATAGACTGAAAAACAATGAATTTAGCTTGAAACTGGCAAACTCCTCAGCTCTTTCGGATACAAGATTGATACGCTGTCCTCCCACACCAAGCACATCATTTTACAGCTAAATGACTAAACATACGCGGTGATAAATAACCCATTTTGCTTTGTGTGAAAGCTTACTTCAGTTATATTCCACATCTGATTGGCGAATATGAGGAAACTACAAATCCTGTACTCATTCAAACAAGTATGGCAGCACCATGCATTGTGTTGAGACACAAAGAGACAAAATACAATCGATAGAAATTGATGATTTTAATAGAATCTATCCATCAAGAAAAGACATCTGGTGGTCATATATGAAAAAGGTAACCCAGATATTGCCTTCAAAACCAGTTGTGGTATTTCATAAAGTCACACGAATGACAAGGGTGTCAATAACATGTATGACCACCCAAGGAACTGACACTGTGTCTGCACCACTTCCTTGTGGACCTGACAAAGTTTTTAAGTTCTTATCGCTTTCCACAGACCATCCTGCACTGGTACATTGTTGTAGGGTTAATGAAGGGTGACCAGAGATATGATTTGCATGTTCAGTATGTCCCATACTTGTTTGATCAGCACCAAATCTGGGTAATAGGCAGGCAACTGCATTCTGATATTTATTATTTATCACTATCTTCCTGAAGTACGGCACCAGATCCAACACGAAGACATGGTCATCAATATCCCCTAACCCCTGTTCCTGTTTAACTCCACCTCGACATTCATGTCCTGAAAACACATACCACATTTGGTTTCCCTTCTATAACGGTTACTGAGAAAATCTGTTCCCATTGGGGATACCGTGCACTAAGTCCAGAAACACATGACAAGGGCCATAATTCTGTAACAAATTGTAACACGTTTTCCATCAAGGCATTCATGTCCAGAAAACACATACCAAGTTTGGTTTATAACGGTTTCTGAGAAAATCATCTCGGACGGTTGGAGCTCAAACCCATATTCCCCACACTTCGTGGTGGGGGATAATAATCCTGGAGTGTGGCACCAAGTCCAATGATCCGAGAGTATGGCACTAGGTCCAATGACTGCCGAAGCATTGCACAAAAACCAATGGTTGTCGAAGCAGGGAGAACAAGCAAGGGATCATCTCATCCCTTTGGTGACTACCTATCAGATTTCCATTGACATGATACAGTGGGGTTCTGTGATTCAAAGTGAAACCTCCCTACACCATAACTGAGTCACAAACAAACTGATCCTATTAGCATGCTGTGGCATCTTGAAACTGTTCTCAAATGTTACACCATCTCACATGGCCATCATCAACTGCATGCAGAAATATGACTCATCTGTGAACAAATGTTGCAACCACTGCTGCCTATCCCAGCAGAGCCAAGCTCAACACCATGCACACTGTGCAGTTATGTTATGTGCCAACTGGTGGTCTTCCAGCTGTATGCCTGTTGATACCAACAGCTCTTGATGGTTCTGTGCACTGATATTCATATGCATGATTTGACTCAGTCAAAGTAACATCTGCAGTTGTGAATCTTAGGCACAAAGCTGTCAGAATGCTATAACAGTTGTCCAGCACTGGTATTTATCTTGATCTGCACATGGCACCTTTTGCAGCCATCTGGTGACTTCTCCAAAGGCTTTGCACTTTTCTTAATAGTCATATCTGTGCCCTGGTGACTAAACCAGTGCAATGACAGGATTCAGCAGTGTCAACCTTGTATGCAGCATATCCACAGATGATATGGAAAGTATGTGCATTGTTGCATTTGGGTGAACCTTATCCTCTTTATAGTCACACCTGACCTTGTCATTTGCCAAATGTTAACCTAAACCTGTTCTTGGTACCAATCTCCCAAGCACAACCATAAATGTTTGCCAGTCTAAAATCACATTTTGAGGCATGGGATGTTCAGTTTTCAATATGTTTCAAGAAACAAAGTTACATAATATATAAATGTGGTATGGGACAATATGTAGGTGTTCTCATATTTGTTTGAATGACTAAAAAAGCTTGCACTTCAATTTATACAAACATGAGGACCTGAAGAGCTGCTGGCTGTTGTAAACGGAAGAGAGGAGCAGCAGTGGTGCTACCAAATGTCTTCATCAATGGTAAAATATAACAATTAAATTTCACTGTACTACACTGAAGCAGATACAGGTTTCTGTACAGAGGGTATACTACTGAGAAATAATAACACCATAGCAATTTAAAATTCATGCAATAGAGCATGCAGCTGACCATTTCTAAGTAGCAGTTGTATGATGGTTGTGTCAGCTGGGTCTCCCTCAATGACTGCCAGGCAGAGTGGGGACATCACACCCATATATGCCTCTGTTTGTATCTTCAACTTTTTGTTGATGCAGGATCTCAATGTTCTATTTAACATCTCCTCCATCTGTTGGTCAAAGCAAAATTGTTAGTACAATGGCAAGGGTGTGCACAAATATAACACAGCTGCCTTTCACAGCAACAACAGGTTCAGTTCATAAAGGGCCACTGATCCAGAGCGATTACTGTTTCCAGCCAACAGTCTAATTACAAAACCTAGATGCAAACTGGTCAGTGTCTGCTCCCTCGACTGGGCTACTGTCCACCCTGGCAGAATTTCTTCAACCTAATCAGTGGGACATTAGGAAGGGTGGATGCCCATCAGATGCCGTTATTTGAAAACATCCCCCGTAGTTCTTGTCTGATTGTAATAAAGTATCCCAGCAGTGTAGGCTTTTTCAGATTTTCAAATGTTTGGATAGTATAGTGACTGATCCAATTTGATCCTATTTCTGTGTTTTTTACCTCAATATTTAATCATGTAAACATATTATGTCTATTACGTATGCTATGATATCAAAAACACACATTTGATATATTTGAATCCATAAACTAAACAACCCCACTTAATTGCCATTGCAATATAAATCTGAAATTTTACTTAGGTACATAGGTATATACAGTTTTTAACTAAGTACAAAGCAAATGCTTATATATATTTCTTATGTAACAATGAAGTTCTGTTCGTATCCTCAAAACAATGTCTGCCCATAAGTTTTTTTTCCAGGCAATCAAACTTGCATGCAATACAACAATTACTAGGGAGCAGGACAAAAGCCACCCGGACAAATCACCCGGACAAATGCCACCCGGACAAAAACCACCCGGACAAATGCCACCAAGGACAAAAGCCACCCAGGTATTTTGCCATTGCAGAGAGGACAATTACCACCAATCTTGACTTTAATGTTGATTTTGTTGTAAAATTATGTAGACTTTGATGAATAATTTGTTTTTTTATAAAAAAATATTCACTTTGATAAAAAAGTTGATTTTGATGTAACATTTTGATTTCATAGTAATGTTGACTTTTTTAATATGTTAAGTAAATGGATGTAAAATTTGTTTTAGAAATGGTTTGAACTTGAATTCGGTGAGAAACCTGTTATAATAGCATTGTTTTGAAAGTAAGGCTAACTAAGCACATGGGGAGATAAATAGAATAAATCCTTTGGTTAACAAAACTACTTAGCCTGTTGGAGTAGCATTAAGAGGAGATGTTATGAAAAGATGTAAGCAAGGAGGATTAATTTTAACGATTGTATGTAAATAAAATATGCAGAAGAATACTATACCACCAAAATAAAAATAATCAAATACATTTTACCTGGGTCCCGTCACATATCGGAGTCCATGGCAACGAAATGGTAGACCAAGCTGCCAAACTTGGACTCCACTCAAAAACAAAATAAAAATACCTTACTCCAAAACAGACCTACCAAATAAAGTTAACAGTAAAATAATAAATAAATTCAATTATAACTGGCAAATAATAAGAAAACATTATCCACTGTTTCAAATTCAAGAAACACGAAATACAAAATGTAAAAATTATCACCAAACACGCCGAATTGATGTCGCCATAACCAGACAAATCACAAATTAATTCAAATGAGTTCTCTCTTTTTATCAACTTCATTTTTGTAACCTTTTATATGTTTATCACTATTCACATAATAAATATGTTTTTAAACATGGGTTGGTTGAAAAAAATACAATAATAATAACAATAACCATTCACAACACTACATCTATATTAAATTCCAAATCTCTATTACTCTTTACCTATTTCATATTTTTAACCTTTTTAATTCTGCCTCCCATTCAAATTTCCTTAATACTCAGTTGTTGTTTTTTGTTGGTTGTTTGTTGTTTTGTGGGTAGTAACACCACTCTTTCAAAATTTCAATTTTTTTGTTCCCCCTCATTTCTTAATAAATGTACTTCCCCGTCACCGAAATACTTTAGTTGTGCGTGCGACGTTAAATAAAGCAAATAACTAACTAACTGTCCATTTCACTTCCAATATGGACAACCAAGAATATGTTTCATCGCGGAAAGGAGTATGAAAGCAATATTAATGAAAGTGTGAATGAAAAATGAAAAAAGATGAGAATGAAAGCAATAATGAAAGTGTGTCAATGAAAATGAATTATCATGCAAATACATCTGGGAAACATGATATTGTGTTGGTGGTTTATATTTTTATTTGGGTGGCATTTGTCCTAGGTGGCTTTTGTCCGGGTGGCTTTTGTCCGGGTGGTTTTTGTCCGGGTGGCATTTGTCCTAGACCCCAATTACTACTCTCTTGCTGTAACCCTTGTTTGGTGGTAAACCTACACATTATTTGTCATCAATAAAATCACTTGATGGTCAGTTAATGAATTCATAACAGGTATAATTAGTGATAACACCACTCAGATTACCCGACAAAGGTTCCCATTTGGCATTTCTTGTGTCTGGAGTAAATACTCCTCATTATAAATTGAGGTCTAATGAGGCAAATGTATTACATCTTATGTAATATGCGCATGGAAGTGCAGCTGAGTTACAAAACAAACATCGATCAAAGGATTAACCGATAACACGCTGATTGATTAATTGCTTTTATCCTGCACAGCGGATTTGTCAAAAGGTAGTGTTTATGTATGTAGATTTACTAATCTATACTGAATACACCCTGTCGTAAAGTCTCTTTGTAAAAACAATGTCCTTCCTTCAAAGGATTAACCACCAATATACTGATTGATTGCTTATTATTGGCTAACTAAATTACTTTTTTAAAGAATGGCGGACATCATGCAATTAAAGTACTGTCGGAAATAGAAAAAAAACCTGTTTTTAGGCTGTTACTCTGTATCCCTAAAATTTACACAATTGCAAATAGCATATGTCAAAATAACCCACATCGGCCTAACTGGGCATTCAGTGGAATGAGTAATAGGATATCCAGAAATGCACATTTACTCGTAAAATCAGGGAAAACTTAGAAAAAATACAAATAGCTGCTGAAAACAATAGATCAGACTATAGATGTCAATTAGGTCGCTCAGCCAGGTATGACGACGGACCATCGACTCACCTGGCATGAAATGCATGTTCTGCATACAGGCACAAGGGGTCATCTCAATGATATTTTATGCTTTTTCATGTTGTGTGTTGAACATGTCTCATCTATTGATTAACATCTTACGTGTCTTTCTTTTATAACGACAGTTGAGATATGTAAAATAGGATGATACCCATACCCATAGAAAAGCTTAAATCAGCCATCGTATTAAATGTCTCAAAATATATAGGTGGCATGACCACCTGAAGATTGACAGGACTGGATATTATTTGTAAATTGTTATGACATGCTGTTTTCTTCCACAGTTTAATTCCCCTCAAGGATTATCTTATCTCTTTCCCCCAGCCCGATACCAACCACCGTCTGCGACACTCGTTGTGGTTTTGATTTTGAGACAACCCCTCCTACCTGTTTCTTTATAGTGACAGTGAGACTCCGTGGTAGCTACATCCTTAATAGTTTCAGTATTAAAGTTATTATTTTGTACATCAGCTATCATTTATAATAAATTTAATTTGAAAATGGGAATTTAAAAAGTGTCCTTTGTAATACAATATCATCGCACACTAATTTGCATAAAGCCATGGTCTGTTCCAAATAAGTCGCTTTGGACTTAAAAAAACCCCGCATTATTCATTTCTGCACTAATCTCTCCTCAGTAAAGTCCTTTTCCTACATTTTCTATCTCCCCACCATTGAGACTGTAGTTAGGCCGAACTTAGTTTAACAGATATTTCATACTTTCACATGTTAACTACTTAAACTGTAGATATAAATGCGAAAAAACAGTTTTTTTACTATTTCCGACAGTACTTTAGTTGCCAGGTGTGCTATCTAGGATGACCAAAGGGACTATATACCAATGTGAAAAACCTGAAACGATAGATCACGTTTTTGCATATTAGACTGTTAAAAGACGCATGACATGGAACATGACATGATACTTTGTCAGCTGCAGATGAATGGCATCTCATTCCTTTATGTGGATATTGATTGATACATTCCCCGAACAAGGTAATACCCAGATATTGTTGCTATAACTTTCATCTGTTTTAATTTTAATATTTGCATTTTGTTTATATTTATTTGTTATGGCATTCAACAGAATCATTTTTTTTGCCGTGAAGTGTAATGAGACAGACAACATACACTAGGTTGCACTCAGGGTGTGTGTGTGAAATATGATACACGTTGGCAATCTATAAAATGTCTAGATATTACAATCATGTTATAAATTCATTAAGTATAAGGAGATTGTGTGCATTTTATTAAGTTTCAAAATACATACAAATATGATAATAAACTAATTAGGATTATAAGACAAAATATATAGAGATACATTGACTTCATTGATTTCAGTCCTAACATTTTTTACCACTGGCAGATGGTTAAACTTAAAATGTTTTCATTTGTTATCAAAATAATTCCATTTAATACAACATTCAGATTGACTAGTAGTGAACCCAAGCTCACTCCCCAAGACTCCCCATGTACATAGTTAGCCTTACTTTCAAACAATGCTATTGTATCAGGCTTCTCGCCCAATTCAAGGTCAAACTATTTCTTAAAACAAATTTTACATCCATTTACGTTAACATTTTTATAAAGTCAACATTACTATGAAATCAAAATTTTAAATCAAAATCAGCATTTTCATCAAAGTGAATATTTTTTTATAAGAAACCAAATTATTCATCAATGTCTACATAATTTTACAACAAAATCAACAGATGATTATTGAGTAAAAAAGATTTCATCTTTGTTGATCAGTCTATACTTATACTATCAATTGCTCATGAGGGTGGCGCAGCAGAGGTAACGAGCCAGTCATGAATTCTGGGATATCATCCGGGTACTCATTGGAGAAAAACAATAACAAAAGCAACAACCAGTCCACGGAAATTGCTCTGGGTCAGTGGCCTTTAAGGTTTAATCAAATATGCAGAACTACTGTTTCTAGTCTTGCACCTCTTTGGAGGTTTGAATTATCCATGAGTGTGTAAATTAATAAAGGGGCCCCACTCAAGTCTAGAATGATTTCACAAGTCTTGATTGCCTCGGCTTTGGAAATTAAGAATTGTCCTGGGCTCCTTTTGCTAATATCTTTTGTCTCATAGAAATATATATGTTTTCATTAGATAACCTTATTTCTGGGACTTAATGTCAGTCTACACTGCCATTCCAGTTCTGCTCTAAATCTTTTGTTCAACTAGCTTTGCTCCTATTTCCTCCATTGGCTTCCATCACCAAACCTCATTAAGTCGAACTTTTAGACTCAACTAGCGAACTTTCTTTTACTACTTAATAAGAAGGTTATAAGCACTTCATATTGAATGGCATCAGTTCAGGATGGAGAAAAGATATGCAATAACCAGTGTGACAATGAAACAGCAAGCCCAGTTACTTCAGCTACTTAAATAATGTTCTTCTGGTTGAATGACTTCACTTCATGTTGAGCTAATTAATGCAATTTTTTTCATCTAACTTTTCTACAGCGGCATTTGTAAATGACAATCTCCAACGAAGGAATGCCACGAAGTTTTATAATGCTTGAATAGAAGATATGTAGATTAAACAAATACTATGGATACAATGTACAGTTATATTGTCAGTAGTTGAAAAAATGTACAAAGATGCTACTTGACAATTTTGACGAAAATGTTCACATGACCAATAGCCACGATAATTCAGTTGTCTTCCATATGTCTGGACCTAACTATTTACTGAACTTGCGCACACATGGACCAGCATACACAAAGGTTGCCAACTAATTATTGACACATCTGAAATTACCAGCTGATCGTTCATTCAATATTCATTTAATGTAGAACGCAACTGCTTGGCTATCACCAAAGTCGTATATACTGTACGTATTTGCCATCACTTTGTATTGATAAACATTATGGCAATACCTTTGTATAATCATTGTTTTTTATAGCTTTGATCATTTCCTCTTGGCTTGTCATTTTGTCAACACTACATAGCAGACGGTGCTTTTCTCGACGTAAGGCAGCAGTGAATGGATAACGGTATGTGACAGGTTAAAAATACCTACACCAATCTGTTATTTTGTCACAGTATTTTTCTTTGTTGTCAAATTATTTCAATTATGTATCCAGCTATTGGAACAATATAATGGAGTTGCGTCTATATAAGCCACTAGGCTTGTTTGCCTATCCAGGTTTCTTTGACGAAATAAAAATGTGCTCAAACCAAATATATCTACTGTGCCGACAGTGATTGGAAGTGGGCATCCCATAGCTGACAATCGGATCGCAGAATGTGTAGATAGTAAATACATCTACTGTGCCGACAGTGATTGGAAAGGGCATCCCAATTTAGCGTGAAAACATCGCAACCTTTGATGTTTTAAGTACATTTACTCAACTGAAATCGCCCAGTGTCAAACTCAGTGTCAAAATGAAATTGTTTTTAAAACGCACAAATGTACCCATTGTTTACCGTCGCCGAAATACCTTAGTTGTGCGTGCAACGTTAAATAAAGCAAATAACAACAACCCATTGTTTCCAAGATATTTTTTATGGATTAAACTTCTTTTTAATTTCTCTCACAACGTTTCGAGACCTGGAATGGTCTCGAAACGTTAATGAAAGTAAAAGTTTATCCATAAAAATATCTTGAACTTCAATATTACAACTTCTAAATGCCACTGAAAGACAACCCATTGTTTGTTAGTTTTGGTTTTATGGGGATTTTTTTTCTTTTTGGGGTATACATAACATAATAATTTTTCTTAATATACATAACATATATTATGCAAGCTTAATGATATTTCATTTTTCATATTTTACCATTTTTATTAGACATTTCCTGAAATTTGTAACATCATTTTGAAAAGAAAAAATCCAAAGATAATATTTATTTCATGTACATATATATTAAAATATCTAGTTTTACAATATAACATGGAGTTTTGAAATTGTATATTTATTGCTTATGAAAAAGACAAAAAAATTCAAATGCCACATCTGTGACATAAGCCACTGGAGTTGTGACACATGAACATTGAGTAAAATTGGGTGGTGTAAAGTAAATATAAAAATATAGTTTCCCTACACTTGTTACTGTAAAGTGTAGAAAAATATTGTGATAAGTTAGTTACCATAATTTTTGGGGTTTGATTTTGACTTAAGTTTGTCGGATACAAACATCTGACATAAATATGCACGGATTTTGAGAATGACTCATATGTTGCTAATCTTGCTAATGTTATAATGAAATGAAATAAAACATGAGTCAACGTCATACTTTGTTTTATATATGGTGCCGTTTTAGCCCAAAAATCAGGAGCCGTTTTCGCCAATATGGTGCCGTTTTCGCCACACAAATTTGGTGCCGTTCTGCTGTGGTGCCGTTTTAGCTATAACCCAAAAATACCTACACCAATCAAAACAATTGGAATATTCAACTCGGTACAGACATGGCGTAGCGAGCGTCCGGTGTCAGCGAACTGAGTGGGAACGGTTCCTCTTTTCTTGATATAATCACGTGGCAAGGACAATAATGTCGAGACTGGAAAACGAGTTCTTGGATTATGATTCCGCTAAGATATGGAACGAAGTGTACCAGGTTTGATCTCTTTGTTGGCACCTCTGAAATATTTAGTGTGGTTGATACGTTCACATGTTAATGCTCGGGCACAACAACTTTCAAGGAAATGATAAGTTTCCTTTCACTTAAAATTCCTGCTGTTTAGTGGAAGATGGAAATAGGATTTCTCACCCAAACGTTGGCTACACTTTTCATCAACACGTCAACCAGAAACGCTTTCATTAAATTATTATACTTAGTTTACCATTTTATGTAACTATAGTTTAAGTAAAAAGTTCTTGTGGATGCTAGCCTTAGATTTCGGCAGGTTTGACAACTAGAAAGTTCACATTGTCTTTTACTGTAGCAGGCATTGACAGCTTAATGTAGCACTCATTCGCTCAAACTGCGAGTCAAGCCCTTGCTTCACAGATCTCACATGCCTCTTTGATCTTTAGGGTTAGTTAGTATAAGGGTAGGTTATACCCAACTTTATTCTTAGCTTCCCAGATCAAACACCCCCATTACGGTCATTTGGTTTTTGTATCCCTTTCCGATCAAACTTTCCTTTATGATCCTTTGGTTTGGGCACCCCTTATGAGCATTTGATGAGCAATGAATTAGCATGTGGTTAAGCAGCTGCTTTTAACAAATAAGTTCAGTGCAAGTTGAGGAATTTCTGTATCTTTTTATGAATTTTCATGGAATGTCACAGAGTAATTGGCTACTGTGCATGTGCTAATAGGTAATCTATTGGGTGCTGATGACTTGGTAAACAAGCACTAGTTATTTGCAATAGCACCCTTGGTCACGTGGTAGGAGGTCAGGTAAGGGGGGTTTAACGTCACCATTAAGATTATTTCGCTCATATGATGATGTGCATCTGTATGTATGTGTGGCTGCTTGTACTAGCCCAGACTTAAGTTGGTTTTATACTGCTAGTTTACTGACATATCATGCCGCAGTTCAGCATGAATACCCCATACAGACACATTATACTGATTCTGAGCCGACCAGTCCTTGTTGTACCCATTAATGCCGAGCGCCAGGCAGGGACCAACAAGTACCATACTTTAACGTCTTTTGCTATGACGCAGCCAGGAATCGAACCTGCGACCTTCCGGTCTCCGGGCACACGCTCTAACCACTACACCACAGAGGCGGTCTCACATGGCAGGTTATTAGCTTCTTAGATTAATCATGAGGGAAGCTTAGGTTCAAGCTGGCACAGTGAGTTAGATCCTCCTCGCACTGCTAATTGAAATCCAGAAATCTGCGCCCACCCAATGCAGAACTTTCTGTGGTGCAGGCTTTCTGATGCCTAAGAAAAAAATGTTGCTTCTGTACAGCAAAATTCAATGTCAGTGTCAATGTACACATCTTTAAACAGACAGCCTTTGATTTACCTTGGTGTTATCAATTGTAGCAGATCTGCAGATGTTTTGCTAAAATATGACAATTGTTAACAATAATAAATCCAAACATGGGGTTTTCTTAAGTTACTGTTTTATTGTCAAATGACATAAATAAGGAGAGTGCTAACAAACTACATTCTTCTTAAGGTCTTTTATTCATTATTTTCTGGGAAATTCTAAAGCAGATTCTGCAGCTTAATCTTGTCTGAAGAAGTCAGTATACATCAGTACTTTTCCATGTTCTGATCTAAAACATATTCAGAAAAACATGAGAAATATGTGGCAACAAAACTAGAATAACCAAGTCTTAAAATAAGCTTCATGCCATGATACAACCCTTCAATGGGTATCATGATCTTACTAATTTAAGTGATCATAATGAAGCTTTGATCTGATGTCTTATATTTTCACTTTCGTTTTACACTGTTCCTTTTTATATTGAAGCACTTTTTATTACAATAAATTGATTTTGCATTACTTTGTCAATTAGAGCTGGAGTGATTGATTGAGATATCAGCCAATTAATCAGTGAATGTCGATGAACTTTGGAGACTATTCAATATTCATAAAAAAAATGAACCATCAAATTAACGTTCAGAAAGTATGTTTTGTATTGTATTGTTTAAATCAAGACATAAACAGTTGCATTTTCCTGACTCATAAAACAGTGTCCTTTTTATTGTCTACATGAGTCTTGTGGTGGGGTTTACGATTACAATCAATTTTTGATCAATTACTGAGCTGTAAGATATAAGGAAGATAGTTTTTATGGATGTCAACCTCTTTATTATGAGGAACACAACGTTTCAGAGTATTACTCCTTCATCGGGTGAATGAATGGTATGAGGCAGAGAGCATTATATATGTACATGTAAGAACAAGAAAAGTAATAAGACAACAAAGATGCACACTAAATAATGGAAGCCAACAGTTAACTGGTGTTGATGTATGATTGGCAAAGGACAAATGTAAGCCAGCACTTAACAGTTAATTAGTGCTGAATAGAAACCAAAACTTAACAGTTAAATAATGTTGATAGGTGATGAACAGTGGACAGCTGGAAGCAGGGATTAAATTATTGGAAATGGACAAAGGGCAGATGGGAGGTAATAGTAACAGATAAACGCAATAGACATTGATAAATTGAGGCCAGAACAAACAAATTAGCACCGATATAGATTGATAAATTAATAAGTATAGACAACAATCAAACAACGATCGAAGCAATAAGTCCCAGGCACTGGGCAGCTGGGTTCCCTGGTCACGGTTCATGGCTGGCAGGTGTCTCCTGATGTCTGTGGCTTCTTGTACTGGTTTTCTTTGTCGCCAGTTGTTTGTGGTGGTGGACAGGACTTTGGTGCCTCCCCACATGAAGCCTAAAAATATTTGTTGTGGTTCCAATTACCCAACCGACCCTTGATTTCTGGTGCCGACCCTATTTTTTCTAAGCGGACTGAATAAAATAAGCTTTCAGATACCATTGTTTTTTCCCGGCACCGACAGATATCGGTCATTTTGATAGAGAAAGTCAACATGATTGCCCGCAAGCTTGATTGAATAAACAGTTACACATTGATACATGTGTTATTAGTTTGTACTTTCCTTCTAAAAGAATATGTAAAAAAAAAAATCATACCTACCCTAAATTTTAAAGAGGTGTAATCGGAACCACAACATTATTTTTATTTGGCCTGATGTGATCTTAGTTCTTGAAGATGTATTCAGAGATGGCAGATTTCAAGTCTAGTTTGTTGACAGAGTACAGGTGTTCTTTGAGTCTGGTGTTAAGGGGTCTGAGGGTTTCTTCGAGGTATTGGTGACCACAGTTGCAGGGGATCTGGTATATACATCCTCTGGGTTTGGGGCTAGCGCTGCTGGGGCCTCTGCCATTGGCTTGATGGTCTTGATGGTTTTGCCGCTAGAGAATGTGTCATCAATGTTTGATTTGTTCTGGATGGGGCAGGGAATCTGATGAGTGACAGGGCCTTGATAGGATATGGTGATTCTGATGGGTGATGGGGCAGGTTTGTGTCTAGGATCGGAGTTGCCACCCTCACCCAACGTGCCAAATCCATTTGCTATCCAGACACCCTCAGCAGTGAACTGAACTATCTGAAGAAAGCTTTAACTTCCCTCAACAATTACCCTGCCCACCTAATTTCCAAAACCATCCGCCAGACCCTCAACAACTCTGATCCTAGACCTAAACCTGCCCCATCACCTGTGCTTTAGTTTCAGAGCATAACTCTGTATATTATTTTTTAACTAAAAATTGCAGAAATGTGAGACAAGCCATGAGTCTAACCATGAGATGCCATAAGTTAGACTTGGGTTCCCTTGAGGTTTGGTTTTCAGAACATAACTAAAGACTGTTATATATTTTGGAACCCCTTCAGAATACAGTCCCACAAATCCTTCTGAAGGTGATCTATGCTGTAGGTCACATATGTACTGATTGATTGAGCAACGGCCTCATTGTTAAATTTAGTTCAAATTTCTAAGTTGTGTATCAGGCGTTACGCAAATGGACAGAAAGGTTGAGCTATATGACAGACACCTAAAAGGTAGGCATTGTGTCTATGAATGTTTACGTCCCATACAAATTATTACAGTGATCCACAAGATGCCAAGCTGTGAGGAATGGGACAGTATTGAGTGAATAACTTCAAGCATCATTCTTTGATGTCACAAGTACGCATGAAAATGTGGGTCACAGAAAAATATGCGAGGGAACATTGTATGGGATCACAGAAAAGAACGAGAAAGGCATAATCGTGGCTGCTGATGCCACAGGGTTTAAGCCATTACTGACAAAGTGTAATGAATTTCAAGACAGTTTCCTGTAGCCAGAACATTTGACATTAACCTCCTTATCCTGCTCACTTGACATTTTTTGTTGGAACAATACTCATAACTGAAAATGAAAAAATGTAGCCCAATCTGAAGGGGTTTTCAATTCTTTGAAGAGAGTCTTCCTTGGGATATATATACATTTTTGTACCATTTTCTGCTGCTGAAAATGACCTGTGACAATTGTCAGGATGTTTTCATAAAATGTTCCACAAATGAAAATTTCGTTTTTTATATGTTATACATCAATTGATGATTGAGGAACAATTCTGTTGATATCATGCCTGGAAACCTGAGGCATGTTCTGAACTGAGAACATGCAAGATTAATTGATTCATTTTACTGATCATAAAAAAATATTCACTATGTCGTCATCTGCCTGAACTTGCTGCAATGCTAGCAAGCATAATAATGATAGCATCAGTAATCCATATGGAGGTGTCACTTCCTTCCAATATTGTACTTGTCAGTGTCTTTCTGTCAGACTGGTGTTAGTTTCTAAACCATGATCTGAGATTAGAGAAACCATTTTCTGTTGTCTGTTTAAGGGCACTGGACTAAATTTGTATGTTTTATTTTTTATTTTTTTGGTGATAGTTAAATACTAGTCCTGTTAAGATTCACTCGTGTATTTGGTGAATCAAACCATGCCCCTTCAATTCATTATTCATGGTTACTAGAATCAAATAATTGCAAATATTGTTCAGAGAGTTTTTCCTTTCAAATAGTTTCTTGTTCAACTATTTTCAAGAAAAGAAAGGTAGGCAAAATGGA